TAATGAGTCTCTTATGATTTCTCTTTCCTGTTTACCTCTTCCATGTTTCACTTGAGTCTTGTATTTGAAAGTCAAATTTTATATTCAGCTCTGGTCTTTTCCTCAGGAATGCTTGAAAGTTCCCTATTTCATTAAATGACCATTTTTTACCCTGAAGGATTATACTCAGTTTTGCTGCGTAGGTGATTCTTGGTTGTAATCCTATCTCCTTTGCCCTCCGGAATATCATACTCCATGCCCTCTGGTCCCTTAATGCAGAAGCTGATCAATCTTGTGTTATCCTCATTGTGCTTCCACAATACTTGAATTGTTTCTTTCTGGCTGCCTGAAATATTTTCTCCTTGACCTGGGAATTCTGGAATTTGGCTACAATATTCCTAGGAGTTTTCCTTTGGGGATTTCTTTCAGGAGGTGATTGGTGGATTCTTTCAATTTCTATTTTACCCTCTGGTTCTAAAACATCAGGGCAGTTTTCCTTGATAATTTCTTGAAAGATGATGTCTAGGCTCTTTTTTTGATCATGGCTTTCAGGTAGTCCAATAATTTTTAAGTTCTTTCTCCTGGATCTATTTTCCAGGTCAGTTGTTTTTCCAATGAGATATTTCACATTTTCTTCTATTTTTTCATTCTTTGAATTAGTTTTACAGTGCCTTAAATTTCTCAAATTGCCACTAGCTTCCAATTGCTCCATTCTGATTTTTAAAGAAGTACTTTCTTCAGTAAGCTTTTGGACTTCCTTTTCCATTTGGCCAATTTTGCTTTTTAGGGCATTCTTCTCCTCATTGGCTTTTTGGACCTCTTTTGCCATTTGGGTTATTTTTTAAGGTGTTATTTTCTTCAGTATGTTTTTGGGTCTCCTTTAGCATCACTCTCAGTTTTTCCTCCACTTCTCTTACTTGCTTTTCAAAATCTTTTTGAGCTCTTCCATGGCCTGGGACCAATTCATATTTTTCTTGGAGGCTTTGGATGTAGGAGCTTTGGCTTCGTTGTCTTCTTCTGGTTGTGTGTTTTGATCTTCTTTGTCATCAAAGTAAGATAATATAGTCTGACTCTTTTTGCACTGCTTGCTCGTGATCCCAGCCAATTACTTGAGTTATAAACCCTTTGTTAAGGTAGGTGTCTGTTTCTGGTGTGGAGAATGTACTGTCCCAAGCTTCAGGGGTTTTGTGCAGCTGTTTTCAGAGATACTTCTAGGCACCTGTAAATTTTCAGATTTTTCAAGGTGCTATGATCAAGGGCGAGGTGTTTACTCTTTTCCTGGCCTGTGCTCTGGTCTATGAGTGACCACAAGCATCTTTTCTGTCTTGGAACTGTGAGGAGATTTCCTCTCCACAGCCACTACAAGTTTCTCCATGCCAGTGCTCATCCTTGCCCCCAGGACTGCCACCCAGAACCGCAACCTAGATCTAAGCATGGGCAAAGCAAGAGATCCCTGCAATCTCCCTCTGATCAGCCACTTGATTCCTCTCAGTCTGTGGGCCAGAAGCTCAGGAGGCAGCCGCCACCCCAGGGCCGAGCTCAGGGAATGGGGCTGGGACCCCGTGCCTCTCTCTCACAGCAGAAACTGACCCTTCCCACCGACCTTCTAAGGTGTCTTCGGCATTCATGGGTTGAGACGTCTGGAAACCACCACAGCTGCCTGTGATTCAGTTCTCTGAGGCCTGCTCCAGGTTTCCTGCAGCCTGCGCACCCACTCCGAACTGCTTTCCTCTCCCAGCCCAGTGTGATATACCTTTCTTATCAACTATCTAGGTTATCTTGGGCTAGAAATTTGTTTCACTCTGTCTTTTTGTGGGTTCTACTGCTTTAGAATTTGATTAGAGCCATTTTTATAGGTATTTGGAGGGGTTTGGGGGAGAGCTCAAGCAAGTCACTGCTTTTACTCCACCATCTTGGCTCTGTCCCACCATTAACTCCTACACAAAATATTTACTAAATAGGAAGGCAAAAGTAAGAATAATCATATCATAGCATTTATGCAATAGAAGGCAAAAGCTCAAATAACTGAAATATAGCAATTCAGTCCACCCATAATCCTGGGTCACACTCTCCAACAATGCACAGTATCTGTGTCAAGGAGGAGAGATCATGAGTTCAAATTTATAGAAACTTAGTAGTGAGACCCATGTATGTATCATCCATCACCTACTGGGCAAAACCAGCTCTCTGCTATCTGCTCCTGTCTGTTACTCACAGTTTTCTTGCTAGGCAAAGCTTTTTAATTGCTAGTGTAAAGCTATCTTAGCATACAATCACCTTTGACAAGGCACTGAAAAAAGATGTGTTAAGCTTTGTCTCTCACTATCTCTGTCTTCTCTCTGTCTATCTGTCTCTTCCCTTTCCCCCCCTCCCCTCCCCCCACCTCCTCACCACCGCACACAGTTTCAATGAAACAGCAGCCCTGAGTCTGGGTCCTATAGATCATCAGGTCTGCTTCCTAAGCAGGACATTGAAGAGCAACACAGATGACACACAACTCTTTATATAACAGTATTCTGCTTTTACCAACCAGCTCCCAGCAAACATGCCTGTCCTCCAATCAGCACAATTCCTAGCAAATGCTTGTCTTTCCCCTTTTCCTTCATCTTCTCTTAAGGTGGTTATGGCAGTAAAGGACAACACAGGTACTTCTTAAGCTGTAGGTGATTTACAAAGGAGATTACAAAGGAGAAACTCCAGTCAATAGGATTTCAGCAAAGCAAACACCTATCTGTCAATCAGGAGAGCTCCCAGAAAAAGCATCTGAAGAGACTCTTTGTCTCTGGTCAGCTGTCCCAGCAGAAAGCAGTGATTATTCTCTTCTTCTGTGTTCTGTCTTCTGATGTCTTCATTTCTACAAGCAGCTCTTCTCATCACCTTCTGTTTTCTGATTCCTCCTGCACTCAGCTTCTGGATGATTTTTCTGCTTCAAAGCAGGGTTTCTTCTGTTTAATGACTCCTCTTTATCATATGACCATAAATTTTAAAATCTACCTTTCTGTCAGATATGACTCTTCCCCCATCTACCATAGCATTTTTTTTTAAGGAGGCTAGGCAATTGGGGTTAAGTGACTTGCCCAGAGTCACACAGCTAGTAAGTGTCAAGTGTCTGGTCTGAGACTGGATTTGAACTCAGGTCCTCCTGACTCCAGGGCTGGTGCTCTATCCACTGCACCACCTAGCTGCCCCTCCATAGCCTTTATATAATCATTCCACCATACCTCAAAAGGCACACGATTGAGCCTATCCCAACCATAAACTTGCAAAGTTTTAAAATAGTAACATGCAAATAAACTACTGAACCATAATGCATTGTAGCCATTTTTGCCTTCAGTCTGAGATTTTGCTTCTGAGAGAGACTTTTCTCTTTGGTCTTCTGTAACACCTGGTGGTCTGTGTTTCTTTTCAAGATAGTCTCATCAGTGCTGCATACACGAATATTCTCTTTATGCTCCTTTCAGCAACCAAAATGTTCACATAACAAAGGAGTAGTAGCTTACATCAGTGGTGTCAAACTCAAATAGAAATAGGGGAGTATGTTGACTCAGAAAACTACAAATTAATATTATTTATCTTCCATTATATTTTTATTTATTTTGTTAAACATTTCCTAATTATATTTTAAGGTTCGAGCCTTACTCAAGAGTTTTGTTAGCCGTAGCCTGCAGGCCATGAGTTTGACATCTCTGGCTTATATCACCATTAGAAACTCAATCCCTCTAGATCTTCAAAAACTTTAGTCTTCAAGAGTCTCCAATACTTCAATGCCTTTCCATTGCTACAAGTATTCCCTCCATCAGAAGAGACTACAGCCTATCCATGCTTTCTCATTCAGTATAATTTTTGCCCATTTTCCTATAAATGTTCACAGAGGACCTAATCAACACTTTGGAGGCCTTACTTTAGATTCTTTTATATTCTATGGATACAGTGGAACATTGAGACTCTTCATTCATCATTTACCACTCACTCACACTACATAACCAGCTCCTTTTCAAATCAAATTTCCTAAATTATAATGGAGTGAAGAGGCAACAGAACTGGATTTGAAATCAAAAGACTAGGATTCAAATTTGCTCTGTGCAATCTTGCATGCTGTGCAATCTTGGTCAAGTCATTTCCCTTCTGTGGGCTTCAGTATCCTCATCTGTAGAATAAGGTACAACTAGGGATTTTAATGACCCCTTCTAAATCTAAATCCTAGGAAGCTATTTCTCTTGTACTATTTCTTATACATAAATCATCACTGGAATTCAGAAACATACTTTAGTCTCCTTGAGCACTTCCATGCATCTCTCCAATGATCTTTGTGTCATCTGCAACAATGGTTCTTTGGAAAATGTGGTGTATGAAAATTCACAACCACACAGCATCACCTGCTGAACATTTATGTTAAAAAGATGGGTTTTTAGGCCAAAGGTGGTGTCATATTCCAGTAATCCCTGCTACTAGGAGAGACTGAGGCTGATAGATCACTTGAGCTTGAAAGTTCTGAGCTAAAGTTGATCAGGCAGCTATACTAAGTCCATAATCAATATGGCAAGCCCCTGGAAGAGAGAAGGGCACCATGCTACCTGGGTAGGGACAAACTAATTCACATTGGAAATGGAGCAGGCCAAAGCTTCTGTCCCACTCAGTGGTGGGATTGGGACCATGAGTGACCATTGCATTTCCAGCCTGAGTAGGACAGGGAGACATAATCTAAAATACACTTACATACATGTGGTGGTGGTGGTTGTCCTTCATACTCAAAGAGGACCAAAATGGCATCACCATGTCGGGATTAATGTACAGTGTGTCCAACTGTGGATGATCAGACCACGAGCTCAGAAAGCTTTACCGCAGGTTGGGCACAAATAGCCCATACGAACACTTGAGATGGAAACACGTGTATGTATGTGTATATAAATACATGTGTACATATATGTGTATGTGTGCATATGTATATATACTTCTATGTATTATATATTTACATATAATATATGTGTACCTATTATATAGATAGATAGGCACATAGAAAGAGAAAGAAAAAGAAAGAAAAGAGAAAAATTAATAAGTGGATGTTACAATTGGGAAGCATCTTAGGATATTTAGAAGCCCTACATAATCTCATAGCTTCAATCCAGCCTGCTCACTTCCCCCCTGTTTCATTCTGGACCCAAGTCATTTTCCATCTGGAGAGCCTGCCTCAGACTAGGCATTGACATTAACCAAATGTATTGTTCTTCTAACTGCCTGTAATACCCTGTACAACAGGCATTTTTCATCCATTAAGTTCTTCCTCTATGGACTGTTGGTTAATTTGTTCTCAGGTCTCATTAAGGGTATTCTAGTAACGTCCTTGGCACAAGATCATCCACAAACAGGAGCATCTGGAAGACTGCCCCATCTATAGGCAGCCCCTCTTCCATTTGGACCCTGTATCAGGCATTCTCCATGATAGGAGCAAACCTTTTACAAACCATAAAGCAAGCTGGTTTTGCACTTTTGGGGGGAGGTGGGGAGATGGGAGGATGTATCTATGATTTTATTATAGGGAATGCCTGGTGAGGAAGTCCCTCTATGAATGTGATTAGCAATTGTTTTTCAGTTTAGAGTATTAGACAGTTGCCTAGAGCCACGTCAGGTAATAGACTTGCCCAAGGCCACACAGCCAGTATGTATCAAGATCTGAATTTGAAATTAGGTCTCTCTTATTCCAAAGTCAGCTCTAACTACTACTTCGTCACCTCTTATTTTGTGTCTTATCATTGAAAATCAAGGAATCATAGAACAGAATTAACTCTGGCTTCATTCATCAAAAAAAAAAAAACAACCCCAACACATATGATCTTAACATGTATATGAGAAACTCCTTCTTGGAGAAGACCTTAAAAGCCTCTCTTATGACAAAGTCAAATTCTTTTTAGTAATCAGTAATCAATAAACAATAAATAAATGTGAATCTTGTGTTCTCTGTACCTTTCAGTCAATTGTTTGGCTGTAATAATGCAATATGCTATAGGAAATCATTTGAGAAAGTCTGCCTGCTCCTATCTCAATATTTTCATCAAGTATATCCCTAAATCATTCTCATAAAGATTTTATAAAGACACAGAAGTAGGCATATGGGCTGTTAGTTACTGATTTCCTCTCAGTTGCCTTTTGGGGGGTGGTCATACTGTCCATGAAATTTTCCATTCTTTTGGCATCCCACCCTCTCTAAGATATTTTATTCTTGATTGGATCCAGTAGCTTTTCCTGGCTTCATCTTCTCAAGTGTCATTTCTGCTTCTTGTATAGCACATTAGGGCCTAACATCCCTAACTTGAATTTCACCTTGGTTTTTACTAGTAGTCACTTGGCTAACTGTACACAGACATGAGGTTCTGATAGGACTCTCACATCAGGAACTAGTGGCTCCCTATCCATTAAGATATAAATGTCATTTTCTGTAATGTTCATGGCTTGCCATGCCTAAGCATGCAGCTTCTGGGTGATTTACAAGGCTTTGGACCCTTTCATTTATTAATGTAAACCATAGTTTTCAACACTTTTTACTGTGACCCTACTGAAGTCCCTGAGCATCAAAATAGATGTAGAATTGGTTTAAAGAATCTTGTCAACTTCTTCCTAGACTTTCTCTATGTCTTCATCTTCTGCAGCAGATGTTAGCCCCAAAGCTTTTATTATCTTCAAGATGCTCTTTTTGGATGTGGTCCTCATAAGCCCTGTAAGATGAGATAGCAAGTATTCTATTAAATAATGTCTCATTGCCTTTGGACAGACGATGAATACAATACTATCACTTCCATTATTTGCCTTTCTAAAGAGAATATGTAAGCAACATATCCATTGAGGTCTAATCTCTTTTTGTCTTCTGGATTCATCTTAGCACAAGAATGTCCATGTTTATACAGTTTTGTTGTTGAATTGTTTCAGTCATGTCCAATTCTTCATGACCCCAGCCAAGCACTATGCCATCTTGCTGCCCCTTATATAGTTTTGGTATTTCCTATAATCATGTCAATTCATTGGTCATCCTACTAATTTCTCACATTTAAAGAACCAACAGATAAGTTAATGTTTGGAAAATATTTTTTTTAAGTTGTGATTTTTTTTTTTACCATATCCTACCAACTTTTCCTATTACTCCATCGTTATCACTTCAGAAACAGGAGGGGACCACACAGAACTGAGGACTATTTCGCATTTTTCTATGTCTTATAGATTACCATGCCAGAATCCTTCACCTGAAGGCCAACATATTGCTTCTCCATACTTAATAATTCAGTCAGTCAGAATCAGTCAATTAGTATTTATTAAGCACCTACTGTGTGTCAGGCACTGTACTAAGCAATGGAGATACAAAGAGAAGCAAAAGACAGTCCCTGCTGGTAGTCTATCGGGGGAGGCAACATTCAAACAACTATATGTAAAAAAGAGTTGTACAGTCATCTCTCGACATTCACAGGGTTCACATTCATGGTTTTGATTTTTCCCAGGTTGGCCACTGATAATTAAATGGGAATTTTTGGAGATTTGCCACAAACTGCAGAAAAATCACATATAAAGAAACAAAAAAATTTAGTAAGTGATAAACACATAATTACTGCATATTATTCATCTATTTTATAATTTACTACTGTAATTATACATACATAAATTTATTACAAACAGTTAAATTTTGTTATGTTGCAGTACACTAAAGAACTACCGGCTATGTGTTCTCCTTGGGAATGCCTCCTCTTTGTGCCTCTACCATCCAGACATCAGTGATTTTCTCCCAAATTTGATCTTTGTATCTTGTGCTTTTTATAGGAGCAGGAAATTCATGAAGTAGTTGCTGCAGCTACATGGGGAGCTATGAAGACTGCATAATGTCCAAGACACTGATCTCTCTCTCCTAAAAACTACAACTATTGTATGGGTGCAGTGTGTTTTTATGTGTTTTGTGTGTTAAATAAATAGGATCCAAATTATTAAAAATAAAGGTTTGAAGTGGAGCCTAGAGTTATTCCTGGTTTTTCATATCCATGGGGGTCCTGTGTCCCTCACCTCTGTAAATGTCAAGGTATTACTGTACCGGATAAATTGGGGATAATCAATAGAGGGAAGGCATTTAATAATACCTAGCTTTTATATATCATTTTGAGGTTTGCAAAGTATTTTACAGATGTCATCTCATTCAGTCCTCACAATAACCCCGGAATGTAGGTGCTATTATTATCCTCATTTTACAGATTAGGAAATTGAGGTTGAATGACTTGCCCTGAATCATACAACTAAGAAGTATCAGAATCCAAATTTGAACTCAACCAGCCCTCTATAGTCTAGGCTACCTTGCTTCCTCAGCTAGGTCATTCCTCAGAAAAGTACTGTCTTTCATCAAGATCATTCTCAGAGCCTTTCCAACTTGATATAAACTTCCAGGGTTCATGTTCTTCTGGGTCAGCATTCAGGAACCCAGGGTCACTTCCATCCCTCCATGAGTCATCAGAGTAGGGCTCTTTGTTAAGAGGGAGAGTCTCTTAGTAAAGTGTAAGTCACAATCAGAGTGACAACAACATCTAGAGCCCTTATGGTCTAACCAACTTTCTCAGATTACTTAACAGTGAATTGAAAGAAAGCTCCTGTAGAAATGGCACACTGGACAGGCATTGTTTCTGGAAGAAAGGCATCAAAAGGGAAGGGAAGGGAAGACCAGAATTGTCAAACAGGCAGCCTGCATAGCACCCACAATACTCCTAAGTACCTGAACCAGATTAAAATGTAATTGGGAAATATTTAACAAAATGGAAATATAATAAATCATAGTTAACATATTTTTTAAAGTATCAATATGAAACCAGCAGGGATCCTTATTATGAATTAGTGGCCCTATTTCTCTTTGAATTTGACACTATCCGGGAAGACACTAAAGACACCAAATTGTTCATGAGGCTACCTTGCTTCCGGGGGTGTTGAGTGGGCATATTATGCTTTCTTACCTAAAGGAATATCTGCATTACCTGGGCATAGGTAAGAATAATGAATTTGATAAGAAAGCAAGTCAGAACAGGAAGGGAAAATAGGAAAGGCTATAGATAGAAAAATGGGGAGAGAGAACCATTGCTGAGGTCTAGGTGAGGGGTTCTTAACTTGGGGGTCTGTGAATTTGTTGGGGGTTTTTGATGACATTTCAATATAATTGGTTTCCTTTGTAATAATCTTGCATATTCTGCTTTAAGCATTTTATAGGATTATTCTGAGAAGAGATTCATAGTCTTTCCTAGGTTTCCAAAGGGGTCCATGATACAAAAAAGGCTAAGAACTGCTCGTCTCAGATGAGGTCTGTTCACACTGCTGTTGTTTAGTCTTTTTTCAATCATGTTTAAATCTTAATGACCCCATTTGGAGTTTTCTTGGCGAAGACACTAGAGTGGTCTGTCATTTCCTCCTCCAGCCCATTTCACAGATGAAGATAGTGAGGCAAATAAGGTGCAGTGACTTGTCCAGGGTCACACAGCTAGTAAGTGTCTGAGGTCAGATTTGAACTCAGGAAGGTGAGTCTTCCTGACTCCAGACCCAACACTCTCTCCATGGCGCCACCTAGCTGCCCTAGCTGTTTATATTACAAACCTGTGAGATTCCCAAAGCACAGCTCTGGGGAATTCCTATATACTGACATCTTGAATCACTAGAGTTTTTCTTGTTACAGGCCAAAGAGCTAAGGACTAGTTTAATACAAATTTAGAGTGGCCATCAAAGACAGCTGGTATTGCAGTGTAGAGAGTGTTGGGCCTAGAGTCAGGAAGACCTAAGTTCAAACCTGCTCTTAGACAATTACTAGCTGTGTGATCCTGGCAAGTCATTTTACCTCTGTTTGCCTCAGTTTTCCCAATTGTAAAATGGGGATAATAATAGCACCTACCTCAAGGGTTGCTGTGAGGATCAAATAAGATAATAATGGTAAAGCACTTAGCACAGAGTCTGGAACAAAGTGGGTGCTGTGTAAACACTTATTCCCTTCCCCTTAAGGTACACATGCTCATCTAAACTTGCTATGAATGAACTTACTAATCCCAATGTATAGTAGAAAAGGAGCTGGTTCTGAAGTCAGAGATCCTGGATTCAAATTCTGCCTCTTATTACCCATGTAAGTTCAGGCAAGACACTTAACTGGATCTCTGTTGTCTTATTTGTAAGATGAAAGGATTGGACCAGACGTTTTCTAAGGTCTTTTACAGCTCTATACCTATAATACTATAGAACACAGAAAAGAATCCTGTTGAATCTACTAATTCTAAACACAAGTAAGGAGCTTTCAGAGAATACTGGAAATCTCAGGACTTAAGCTGCTCAAGAGTCACAAGATTTCAGCAGTATGTGATAAAGGTAAAGGAGTTGTCTCCTAGTAATATTTTTTTTCACATGGCTAATAAAGGGATGAACTAAGATGCACTTCTTGTCTGAGTCAGAGGGAAATACATGATATAGTGACTACCAAACTGGAAGTCCCCTTGAAATTTTAATTACTCACAAAGGTCAGAGTGGATCATATTGACAATTGTTGCCTCACTCCTCAGTCTGTGATGTGATGTTGAAAGACTGAAGGGCGAGGGAGAACAGGGAGTCTTTTGTACTTTGCTTGCCATGATGAGGGGATGGGGAAAGAGAATTCCAAGAGAACCAAGCCTGACAGAAAATCAATCAATAAGTAAATTTTAAGCACCTATTAAAATAGCTTACAACAATTAACTATTATGTGGCATGTTACTTTTCTTTTTTTTCTTTTGGCAAGGAAATTGGGGTTAAGTGACTTGCCCAGGGTCACACAGTGTCAAGTGTCTGGTGATATGTTATTTTCAATGTACTTGCACTTCAGAAATCAGCAATCAGTTACAAATCAGGGCTTAATATATTATTTAATTGATTGTCCAGATTTAAGAAAGTGATGGAAAAAATGTTAATAAGGAGGGTTAAACTTAAAAGTGTGCCTTGCATTTTTAGGGAGTTAGGTTGTTAAAAATTTGCCAGAACACTCCTGCCTGAGAAAGCCACTACTTTCTAGGGCAGCTCATTTGATTCTGAGATAGCTCTGAATGTTAGGAAATTTGTTTTTACAGTGATCATGAAACTATACATACAACTTCTTCCCACTGTTCCTAGTTCTGTAGAGAAAACTCGGGATTTTTCATCTAAAGGTCTGGGTTTGAATCTGGCTCAGTTCCTTGTTCACTCTGTGTCCTAAACGAGTCACTTCCTTTATTGATGTGTGTCAGTTTCAGAATCACAGGTTCTCAGAATTTCCAAGTTGAAAGGGGCTTCAGAGTCCCTTCCTAAACAGGATTCTTTTCTGTGTTCTGTAGTATCATAGGCATAGAGCTGGAAAAGATCTTAGAAAACATCTGGTCCAATCCTTTCACATCTTACAAATAAGACAATAGAGGCCCAGTGAAGTGTCTTGCCTGAACTTATATGGGTAATATTAGAGGCAGAATTTGAACCCAGGATCTCTGACTTCAGAACCAATTCCCATTCCACTCTACCTTGCAAGGGAACCTGGGTTCAAATTCCATCTCTGACTTTGGGTAAGTAGCTTCATCTCGCTTCTCCTCAATTTCCTTTTCTGAGCCTCATATTCTATAACTCAAGTAAAAAGGTATTCTCATCTGAGAAAGGGTATCAGCATATAGACAGCACCTTCTTAGTTATGTTACTTGGAATCCTTTTGCATACAGATAAGGAA